CCTGGCACCACTCAGGCCATGGTTCTCACTCTCCCAGCAACCCTGGATTGGGTTATTTGGGACAGAGTACAACTCCACACATGAGCACGGCAGTGCAGGCACTTTGTGGCTGCTGGAGTGTGTTTCAAGTGAACTCACAGCTCAGTCATCCCAGTGCTGAGCAGACACGGGTCATGCTCTGCCTTTAATGGGGGAAAGAAAGAGCAACTGACAAAAGCTCAACAAAACAAAGGAAAAATAAGGCACAAGTTAAACAGAGGAGTTAAGGAATGGGCAGAGCCGCTCTCTATGGGGGAAGGTGAGCTTTAATCACAGGAAAGGTGAGAGGGCTGGAGGAGAGGGGAGGGCAGGGCAGCACCAGCTCCTCCGGGGTCAGAAAGTGAATCACAGTATGACACAGGGAGGTCAGTCCCATCCCACTGCACACTGCTCATGGACACTTGACTGGAGTGACTGTTCTGAGACACTTCTTCATCTGACACTCAGCCACAATGTCATGGGGACTTCCTTTCCCTGCAGCCTGGAATGGGAGATTGGCAGAAAAGGAGGGGAGGGGGCTCAAAAGAACAAGTGTGGCAGAAAGTGGCTCAGCTTAATGCTTTACTCTGTTGCAGTGTAAGGGGATGGGTGGCAGCACTACGTCTCACAGTCTTCAGGAATCGTTGTGGTTATAATCAGTGACTGCTCAATCACGTCCGCAGGGGAAAAGTTCTCGTTTGAGCAGAGTTTCTGTGCAGGGACCTCTTCGGGCAGTGGCCCACCTGCAAGCGATTCCACGATCACCTCGGCTGAGCCCACCTCCAGCTCTGGCGGCGGTTGCAGCACCACCATCACATCCTTCTCATCCTCGATGATGAGGTTCCGCAGCTTCCGCTGTCGAGGGTTATAGTTCTCCACTCGGTCGTGGATCTCCATGTGGCGCCTCAAGTGAGCCTGCAAAAGAAGGGGAATGTGGGGAGACCCAGTGAGGGCTGGCTCCCCAGTGCAGCACAGGGGCCCTGGAGCCGGGGAAGGCCTCACCTGCCGTGTGAATTTGTAGCCACACTCGATGCATTCAAACTTTCTCACTCCCTTGTGCCGGCGAACATGAACACGCAGCTGTTCTACCGCTGGGAAGGAAAACGAGAGCCTGTTGGCAGCAGCTCCACGTCATACAGGCTCACAGCAATGCCAGCCCACCCACGGGAAGGAGGCAGCTCCTGCAGAGCCCCGTGAGAGCTGGAAGCCCCCATGTTACCTTTGAATGTCTTCCCGCAGATGTGGCAGAAGTGGGGCCGCCCCTCCTGGTGCCGGCTGGCGACGTGCCTCAGCAGCGGCCCCTTCTCCGTGAAACGCTGCTCGCAGAACTCACAGCTGAACGGCCGCTCCCCGGTGTGCGTCCGGTTGTGCTTGTCCAGACTCGCTGCCGTTAACGGGGAGAACAGGGAGAGTGGTCAGTTAGAAGCACAGCCCACGCACCCCATCCCAAAGGCTGTCAGGCTGGGCCAGGCTGCCCAGGAAGGCAAGAGCAGCACAAGCAGTAGCTGCCTACTCCAGCTAAGGGTAATGAGCAACACTGGCTCATTTCCCTTCTGTGCCATGAGAGCAATGCAGGTGATAGAAACATGCTTTTCTTGGTATCAGCCTGCACTCAAGAGCATGGCTTTGCTCCTGGGGAAGCTCCTTTCTGGAGGTCATGGATGCTGGAGCCTGGAGCACAGCACTTGCCATGACCTGCCCTAGCCATAGCCAGGGGTACCTTGTGTCCGGAAGGTCTTGCCACAGAGGTGGCACTGGAAGGGCTTCTCGCCAGTGTGTGTGCGCAGGTGCATGTTGAGGTTGGCTTTCTGTGTGAAGGCGTGGTGGCAGAACTCACACACGTATGGCCGCTCATTCCTGCAGGCAGGGAAATGTCATCGTCACCTCTGCCTCCACCAGCTTCGGCCCCTTGGGTCTCAGCCAGGCACTCTGGGAAGAGGGTGACTTTCAGCCAACCCCCAGGCCTGTGGGGCAGAGACTGCAGCCAGGAGAGCCAGGGTGACAGAAGAGAGGACACGGGTGACACTGTACCTGTGCTTAGCCTTGATGTGCATCTGGAGGCCATTGCGGCTCGAGGCCCTGTGCCCACACTCCTCACACACAAACAGCTTCTCTCCGCGGTGCTTGAAGGCCTCGTGAAGGCGCAGCTCTGTCCGGGACAGAAAGCACTTGGAGCAGGTTGAGCACTGCAAAGCCACAGGAGAGGAAGGTGTTAGGGTTGGGGTAGACCCACCCCGACCCACTCATACCCAGCCTTTCCCCAGCTGCTCCAGGGACATCCCTGCAGAAGCCAAGGCAGCACTCCCAGCTCAGACACCCAACAGAGATAAGTGCTGGTCAGTGCTTGGGTCTGTGGGCTGCTCCTGTACCCAAAAGAGCCCATTTCCAGTAGCTGTGTGCCCTACCCCCTCACTGACAGAGCCCAGTATAATATTGTGCCATTCCTTAAGCCAAGTCCACACTCAGAACCACCCTCCCCAAAAGCCCTGGTCCCTACCGCGTGGGGCTTGGGTGCGCCATGCAGCTTTATCATGTGGCTCTGCAGGTCCTTCTTCTGCATGAACTGCTGTGAGCAGGAGGAGCACTGCAAGACAGGAGAATGGGGTCAGCTTCCAGCTGCCCCCAAAGAGTGGTTTCAGAGCAAGGAGAGGATCAGAGGGGGAATAGAACATGGATTCCTGGTACAGCTACAGGAAGCCTTTGGTTGTGGTGCCTCCCTGGATCACATTTTGGTTCAGAGACAGGGAACAACCCTGAGCGGGTTATCATGGACAAGAGAAGGGAACTGGTGTGCTCAGCTCTTGATGGGCTGGGCTGCCCTAGAAGGGAAAGGCTCGCCCTTGCTCTGTGCCAGTATCCAACAGCATCCATAGGATGTTGGATGCAGGCCCTGCTGACCTTGTATGGCATCTCCCCGGTGTGTGACACCATGTGCAGCCGCAGCTCCATCCGCCGCTTGAACACCTCTGGGCAGGCCGAGCATGTGAATACCTGTTAGAGACGGGGTGATGTTGGCTTTCCCAGGACCTAGAGCCTGACCTGGAGCCCACAGCTCAGCCCCCTGCCCAGCACATGGCACTGGCACCCAGCTACAGCATTCAGCCCACACCCACAGGAGCCGAATCTTGTACAGTACAGAGTGTGCTGAAACATAAGTGAGGGCTGTGTTGTGCATCAGGCATGAGTCCCAGCCACAGGGGCCCTGGCTGGGGGGTCCCAGCTAGGGAACATGTGCTACATGGTGCTGACATGGGGTCTATTTGGAACTGAGCATGGGCTGAGACTGGGAAAAGGCTCCGATTCCCCTCCTGCCACACAGCAGCCGCATTCCAGCCCAGCAGGGCAGCTCCTGGGCGTACCTGTTCCGATCGGTTCATGCAGTTCCTGGCTTCATGTTCCAGGAGATTCTCCTTTCTAAAGTAACATTTGCCACACTTGGAACACTCAAATGGCTTCTCTCCAGTGTGCTTCCTTGGGGTATGCAAATACAGAATCCCATCACTGTCTGCCAACAGCATCTGCACAGTCAGGCCCAGGAGGTCACAGGGAAGGGTAAGGTGGGTACTTCCCCCCACTCCCACAGTGCTACTATTCACAGCCGCCCTAAAGCTGCTTTTATGCCACTTTTGTGTCCCTTCAACAGCACAGCTCGGTGCCTGCTGAACTCCATGGACCATCAGTTTTGCAGGGCCAAAAGTCGTCCCCAACACTAATGAAGCAAAACTTGAGGTCTCGCTACAGGGCCATGCCCTGCTCTCGGTGGTGCACCCTGGAACTCCTCATAAGGCCTCACATAGCCATGTGTCCCCTGCAACCCCAGAAACTCCCCCTCATCCAGGGAGGATTTGCCATCTCCCACCTGCAGCTACTGCAGCCCCTGAGGAGCCCCGCACATGAGCCACAGCTCAGGACAGTCGCTGCAGCTCTGGGACGCCTTTCATTGACATATAACCCTCCTCCAGGGACAGCTGAAACCCTCCTTTTACCACACCGGGGGATGCCGAGGTGTTGGGACCACCTGGCAGAAAAGGGGCCACCCTTTCCTCCCACCCCACGCCGAGCCGTGGGGGCGGCGCGTCCCCCCGCGTACAAGGGAAAGGAGAAACCGGAGCGTTTACCTGTTGTGCACTTTAAGGTAATATTTGCTGAGAAAGGTTTTATGACATGTGGGGCACTCGACCGGCACCGCTGTACCTTTTCTGCTCCCCGCTGCCTTTCCCGGAGCGGAGGGGCTCTTTTTGCTCCGCAGCACCTTGTTCTCGGGAAGGGGCTCGGCGTCGCCGTCCCCCCGCCCGCCGTGACCCACCGCCGCCTCCTCCGGGGCTGAGGGGGAGCCCTGCGAGGGGAACAGCGGCGTCACGGCGCCTCCCCGCCGGGCCTCGGCCCCGCCGTCCCCTTCCCGCCCCCCTCACGCACCGCCTGCCCGCCGGGCTGCGGGGCCGCCGCGGGCTCCGGGCGGGCGGTGGCGGCGGTGGCGGCGCGGCGGGGCCGCGGGCGGAAGGCGCGGCACAGCGCCACGGCGTCGGGCACGCCGAGCTGCTCGGCGGCCGCCAGCAGGCGGGCGCGGTTGTGCGCCGTGAGCGCCAGGCGCCCTGTGTAGAAGAAGTCGAGCAGCAGCTGGAAGGTGTCGGCGAGGCCGTCGGGCAGCGCCACGGGCCCGCCGGGGCCGCGCGCGCGGAAGAAGCGGGAGCAGCTGGCGAGCACCGGCCAGTGCGCGCGGAACTCGCGGCCGCCCACGCCGAGCGTCGCGTCGCAGAACTGCCCGGCTGCGCGCTGCCGGTTCAGCTCCCGCAGCACCCGCACGCTGTGCGCCGCCACCGCCGCCATGGCCGAGCACCGGGGCCCACCGGCATCCGCCACCGCCGGACGTGGCGTCAGCGGGCGCCGGCAGTGACGGTGTGAGAGAGCGCGGCCGGGGCGGGCCGGGGCCGAGGGTCGGTCCCCGCGGAGGGGGAGGCGCCGTGCGGGTAGAGCCCCGCGACTCAGGCGGCAGCCAGGCGGCGTGTGTACTCCTGGATAGCCATCTGGAAGTGTTCGGCCGTGTTTTGGTGCGGCCGCAGCAGGATGACGAAGGCCCGCGGCACGAAGTACCCGCCCAGCAGTGCTGCGAGCGTGCCCAGCGTGCTGACCACCCGCACCGCCGTCTCGGCCCGGCCGCGCAGCGCGCCCTGCGAGCAGAGCACGGCCGCCGAGCAGCCTAGGTGTAGCAGCAGGCTCACGGTCAGGCTCTTGGCCTCGTTGTATGCAGCGGGCAGGTCCGTGCCCGCATAGCTGAGCACGAAGCAGCCGGCGCTAAGCAGCACCGTGTAAACGATGGCAGCGTCGGCCGCGGCGTTCCGGCCGCACTCCAGCACTATCCACTCGTCCCGCGCGCTGTACTCCCGGCGCGGCACCGAGGGGCTGGCGACCTCGGTGGCCACGCACAGCACCACTTGTGCCGCCGTGCTGGCGACCACGAACAGCACCGGCCCCTGGCGCCGCATCCAGGCCTCGTAGAGCGCAGGGCAGCGCGCGTTCAGCTTGAAGATACAGAGGATCTGGAAAGAACGGGTCGCCACGCACGAGAGGAACACAGTGAAGCTGATGCCAAAGAGCGGCACCCGCAGCAGGCACGCCACCCACGAGGGCTCGCCGAAGTAGCAGAAGAGGCTGCTGCAGGTGCAGGCCAGGGAACCCAGCATGAGGAAACACGTCTTCCCGCCCGCAGACTTGACCACAGGTGTGGAGGCGTTGAGGGCGAACAGGACAGCCAGCGCCACTATGAGCAGCATGAGAAGAACAGCCAGGGCCAGCAGTACCCAGGAGAGGGGCTCAGACCAGGACAGGAACTCGACGGTGCGGTTGAAGCAGACCTCGCTCCCTGCTGGGGCCCATTCGTCCAAGCCACAGGCCTGGCAGTCAAAAGGGTCTGCGGAGGACATGGACACCTCACACGTCTCCGACCTGGTAAGAGCTGTGCTGTGGTGCAGAGCCCAGCCCGCAGCTCCCTGGGCTCTGCTCACCCATTGCACTTGCTCCTTCCTGAGGATGCTCCCAGGCCTGGGGAGAGGGGGAGGGGCCTCTTTTCCCAAAAGACCCCCCACCTAAAATTCACCCCCTGGACTATTCCCAAAATCCGTGGCCTGGGCTGAGACAGGAGGCGAGACAGGGGCTCAGCTGTGTGAGGCTCAGGGCCACGGGGGCTGTGGGTGGGAAGAGGCCCATGCATCAGCAATAACCTGGGAAGGATCTGCAGCAGCTGCTGTTGGATGGGACGGTACCATGTAAGAGGGCTTTCTGCTCCCACTGTCCTCAGAGCTGCCCCTGCCCACTCCACAGGCCAAGGATGTTGAGGGACTAGCTGTCAGGAAGGGGTTTGTCATTCTGAGGCAGGAGACATTTCCATATGCCAGGTGCTGGTGACCACATAGTGCAGAAGCCCTGTGTGCCATCTGGGGCAAAAAGGCAACCACTAGGTTGAATTTCCCTGGCAGAGGATGTGGTGCTGGGAACAGCTACCGGGCCGGACATCCCCTTTCCCTGGCCTCAGGCAAAGGGGCTCGCTTTGCCCAGGTGGGCTCACCTGTGGGCAGTACTCCCCGGAAAGCACAGGGCATGGGCTTTGCATACCCACTGGTAAGCAAAGAGGAGCCAGACCCACTGCCTTCAGGTCACCTCAGAGGTTTTACTGACCACAGGAGGTGAGCGGCTGGGAATGGTGAGACAGGAGCAGGAGGTAGGATGTGGGCAGGGGAGGAAGGGGCAGGAGCAGACCCTGGGGGGTACTGACCCGATGTGTTCAGGAAGGTTCCTGGTGGACAGGTCACACAGCTGAAGCAGCATTTGTGGCGGCTCTGCTGCAGCCGCATCTCCCCTGGCTCACAGGCCTCAGAGCACACTGAGCTGGGAGCCTGCCAGGAGCACAGACAGGGTCAGGCTGCCAGGCAGCAGCACTGTTCAGGCTCAGCAGCACTCTGGCACCCCCCCCCCACACTTCCTCTGCCCCCAGTTTTGCCCCGCTACGAGGAAACACCCCAGAACTGGTGGCATTGGATTGCAGTCAGCTCAGAAGTGAGCAATAAATAAGACCTGAACAGCAGAACAGTACCTGGCCATCTTCTGTGTGCCACCGGACTTTTTCTGGGTCGATGCTCAGTCTGTCAGGGTTCACACGGAAGGTTCCTATCACATCAGAACCCCAGTTTGAGCCCCTCCATTTCCACATGATAATGTCATAGCCTTTATGAATGTCCCCATTGGCATCAAAAGAGATTCGGCTCTTGTACAGGGTGAAGTTGACTTGCCTAATCTTTTGTAGGAGCTGTAAAACAGAAGAGTAAGAAAGGAGCCCTTCCAATGGCACGACTCCTGCCATTGGGAAGGAGACATGATGGAGGACGCTTCCTCTGTCCTGCAGCTGCTTTCCAGCCCCCCATCACCTGCAGGAAATCCCATCCAGTGAGGGGCTGGTAGTAGAGGAACAAGTGGTCTAGAATGGAGTCTAGGTCTAGGCTGCTCTGACTGTGAGGGGCAGCTGAAGCCCACAAGGGTCAAGACAGGAAACCTTTGGGCACAATGGAAAAATCCTTCCCCGTGGGAAAGGATCCTCATGGATCTTCTTCCACAAGGTTGCTCTTACCTGCCAAGGATAGACAGTGCCTTTACTGCAGGCCCCTGAGGCACAGCCCAGTAGGTCATGGAGGCCATGGGCCACAGCATATACGGCCGAATATACATTGAAGGAGCCTTGAGCATCGTACATGTCAGGGACAGTGGCGAGCGCACGGCAGCCAGTGCAGCGCTGGGTGCAGTCCAGCCGTGTGTTCCCCTCAGATTCCCCGCCTGCCTCTGCACTGCTGGCACACTCAGCCCCAGCGCCTTCCTCTGACATCTTCCAAGCTGCAAAGCGTTCCAGCATCGCAGACTCTGGCTTCTCAACTGCCATCCCAAACACAGAACCAATGGTCTGGATGCCAGGCACCTGCCAGATAGTTTGAGCCAAGGACCAGTCTTCAGAGGCCACCCACACCATACCCGTGATGTTCCTCTGGACCACCACCTCGAAGAACGGCAGAACACTTCTTCTGGTGGAGAACACGACAGTGACATTGACCTTGACATCTGTAAGGATTCGGACCAGGTTGTGAAGCTCCGGGTTGTTGGCGTCCGAGTTGACAGGGATGGTGCCTCGGTAGGCCACGCACACATTGCTTGCGGTCAGCAGCTCCTGCAGGGCATCTAGGCTGGCCCTGCCATAGGTGTTGTCACTGCCCAGCAACACCACCCAGGTCCAGCGAAAATGCTGCAGCAGCAAGAAGATGGCCTTCACCTGCTGCCTGTCGCTGGGGATGGTGCGCAGGAAAGAGGGATACAGCCGCTTCAGGCTCAGCGACTCCGTGGAGGCTTCGTAGCTGATCTGCAAAAGGAGCCAGGGGAAAGGGGGATGCGCTGGCCCAGGCAGCTGCACCCCTGAGAGCTAATGGCACAGGCAGCCTGTCTGGAGCTGGGCAGGCAGTGGACCCAGTGCTAAGCATGCTGAAGCAGGAGAAAGCAGTGATGGATGGCAGAGTCAGCCCACTGACTGCCTGGGAAGGATCCTGGGACAGCACGCACAGAGGGACTGCATTTCCAGCTCTACCAGGCTCTTCAGCTCTAAGCCCACCCTCCCTGAAACCATCACTCATTTGGATCCCTGTTTTTCATCAGCCGCAGGAGCTGCACTTACCTCCGGTACAAGAAAAAGGCTGAGAACAGCGGCTGTGGTGAGGGCCAGCCGACTGCTGTCAGGGCCAATGACAGCCACAGCCTGGGGTTCATAGTGTTGGAAACTGGGGAGCACCTGGACATCCTGCCTCCCTTTACGAGCAAGGGCACACAGCGTGGCATGGAAGTTGGTAGGCTCAGAGCAGGTGTCGTAGATTTCATAGCCCAGGGTGACATTGGGGAGCAGCGTGCTGGAGTTGTTAATCTCCTCCACGGCAAAGCGCAGGGCTTGGGACAGGCAATAGCCGTGGCTCTTGAAGGCAGCGCTATGGAATCGAGAGTGGTTGTTAGGAAGGACAGCGCGTTAGGGGCAGGGGCAGCACGGACACTCACTCGTTGCAGCCGCGCACGAGCAGGCTGACATCGTCCCGGTGCGGCGCGGTGTGCAACGGGAACAGTCCAGCCAGGCGGTGATCACCGCGCAGGGTGAACGAAGAGGCGGCGGCAGCAGCCGCGCAGAGGCACAGGCGGAGCAGCGCGGGCGGCGGCATGGCAGGGCGACCCCGCACCGCACCGCGCGGGCGGCTCTTAACGGGGCGGTGGCGGCGGGCGGGGCCTCGCACCGGGCGGGGCGGGGCCGGCCGAGGGGCGGCCCCGGGAGGCGGAGGAGGCTCGGCGGTCATGCCCGCGCGGCGCAGCCGCCCCCGCCGGGCTCCGGCCCGTGCCCTGGCCCGCGCGAGCCGGGCGGAGGGGGTCTGGCGGGAGTTCGCCGCCTCCTTCACTCGCATCGGGATGGTGCCACCGGCTGGGCTGGGGCTGGTGGCCGTGGAGGCGGCGGAGGGCACGGCCGTGCTGCTGCTGGCGCCGCAGCAGGTGAGCAGCGCCCGCAGCGCGCCGGTCCCGCCGCGCCCCGCACCGCCTGACCGCCTGTTCTGTCCTGCAGGCGCTGACCTTCACCGGCAAGTGCCGCCTGCGCTGCCTCTACGGTGCCGTCCGCCTGCTGGGCTTCGCTGTGGCCTCGCACCACCCGGGACTGCCGGTCTTCTCGCCGGCCACGCACTGCGCGCTCAGCCTGGAGGCGCTGCCCGGCGCCCGCCCGCCCTCCGCCGCTCTCCGCCAGCTGCGCGCCGCCGCCCGCGCCGCCATGCGCTCGCACCGCGTCCGTCGCCGTGAGTGCGGGACGGGACGGGGGCGCGGGCGGGCGCCATTTCACGGGCGGTGCGGGGAGCGGCCATTTTGTGCGCGGGGCGCTGCGGAGTGGGCGGGTGCCATTTCGCGGGCGGGCGCGGGGCTGAGGGTGATGGCAGCGCTTGCCTCTTGCAGAGGCGCGGGTGAAGGTGATGGCGCGGTTCTCGCCCGACTGCGCCGTGGTGCTGCTGGAGCACCTGGACACGCCGGTGACGCGATTCCTGCTGAGCCACCCACCGCTGTCGCGGCTTTTCGAGCCCCAGGTGAGGCGGCGCGGTGCCCGCTGCGCCTTGCGCCGTCCCCGCACCGCCCGTGCAGAGCCAGCGGCGGCCGCCCCTGTCAGCGCCCAGGCCGTGGCCTCACACACCCCGTGCTGAGTGCTCACCCTCTCGCCTAGAAAAAGGAGGAGTCTAACTTCACGCCAGAGGACGCGGTCCTGGCGTCCGTGGGCATCGTGAAGTGTAGCCCCGACCGCGGGCTGCAGGTGTCGGAGAGCATGTGCCTGGCGCTGGAGGAGCTGATCCAGGCCTGCTGTGGTGAGTGCAGGCCTTTGGCCGGGTTGGGGCTTTGGTAGCCAGAAAAAAAGAACTCATGAGGCTTTTCATGAGTTAAAGTTGAGAGAGTACCATGACCAGTACGTGCTGATTGAAGGGCACATTTTTCTGTATAAAGAATGTGTTTCTAGAGCTTAGACGTTGCCTAGGGTGGGTTAGTGATGCCAGCATCAGTCCAGTCCAGTTCACACTTCACTTTTCTTTCTAGCGGAAGATGAAGGTGTCCCTGTGGTGCTGGTGTGTGGCCCAAAAAACACTGGGAAATCGACATTTAACAGATACCTAATTAACCTGTTACTGAACCGGTGAGTCTTTCCATGTTCTGCAAGCTTTTAAGTGCTGCATGAGATTTAGGAGAAGAAAAGAAAAAATATGTTTGACAGGTCTCTCAGAAGAACCATCAGAACTGAAAGGTGCATAGCTTTTAAACACAAACAAAAATTCAGAAAAACAGGTGTTGTTGTCTTGAGTGATTTCAGAAAAATTGTTTCCTGAACATTTCTATTGAAATACTGTTAAATTGCTGCCTTGGAGTGTAGGAGCACATTGGGCACCAAGCAGTTTGGGTTCAGTAGAAGAGTTACAGTGCTCCACAGAAGTGTGGTTAAGGGAAGGAGATATTTTATTCATGAATTTTAGCTTTGCAACGTGGAACAAAATCAGGTTCCTCTTCTGATATGTTCAGATCATGCTGTAGTTCTTCTTTTGGTGGATGCTAACACACAGTCTCTCTCCCTGCAGCCTTCCTGTGGTCGAGTACATGGAGTGTGACATCGGCCAGACGGAATTCACACCACCTGGGTGCGTGTCCCTGAGCAGCGTCACGGAGCCCGTTCTGGGTATGTGTTCCGCTGCTTCTGCGGTTACCAGAGGCCTGTTCCGTTCCTGCAATGATCAGGGTGTTCTAGGCAAAGGCTCTGCTTCAGAGGAAGCTGCTGCCACAGCTGTCAGAGTTTCCTGGAAAGAATAAACCAAGGCCTGTTTGAGTTTTCTTGTAGGGACATTTAAGCTCCCTGAGTAACATGGAGCTGTTCTGCTCGTTTTGTCTGCTTTAAAGAGAAATGATGATGTAGAGGTGGTAGTACATCCTGAGGTGTGTCAAAGGGGATGTTCTGCCTTTCAGATGTGAAAGGTGTCCTTGGGAAAATCTGTATCTATAGATAAGACTAACTTAAGAAATCCAAAGTGGATCTGGGCAGATTTGGGCTGTTTTGATGAGTGGAAAAAACAGAGTCCAGGAAACTACTGGTGTTTGTAGTCTTACAGATTTGGACCACTGTCTAAAAGGATGTGGCCAGACTGGTTTGCTGTTTAACCAGTTTGTCATAGACTGTTCTTTGAAGATTTGCAAGTGTGTAAGCAGTGATTTCAAACAAAAAACACACCCAATATTAACCCAAAACAAGCAAAACTCCCAGCCTGCAAGTGACAGACCAGTTTCCCCTATTTGCAGGCTGTGTAAGAAGGACAATTGACAGGTGGGAAGAACGTGGATTATTTCAGGAGAGGAGGCATGTGGGTGCTAAGGGATAGGAGTGTTTTGGTTTGATTTGAGGGAGGCACTGGATGTTTGGTGCTCTCTTTGCCAGGTCCTCCCTTCACTCACCAGCAGATGCCCTGTAAGATGGTGTATTATGGTCAGACCAGCTGTGAGCAGGACACGGAGAGGTACCTTGATGTTGTGAAATACGTGTTCAGCTGCTACAAGAAAGAAGTGCCTCTAGTCATCAACACCATGGGCTGGGTGAAAGGTAAATGGGGTCAGTCTGCTCTGGAGAGGTGTGGGAGGGACGTAACAGTGGCACAGGACCACGTGGAGCAAGAGCTCACAGCATGTCTGCTCTGAGCTAACACTGCTGTCCTACCTGTCGCTGTAGTAGCAGCAGTTGTGTGTTTCCTGTGCTCCTCAAGGTGACGGGCTGCTGCTCCTCATTGATCTCATCCGGCTGTTGTCACCCAGCCACGTTGTTCAGATGGACATCTATGACTGGAAGGCCATGCCCCCGCTGACACCTGAGCATGTCCACTTCAGTGCTGGGCTGCACACCAAGGGCAAGCAGCAATCCAAGTGCAAGCAGCTGGGAGCGGACAGCGTGGAGAGCTGGAAGTACCCTGAAGGGGAGGACATGTCAGCTCCACAGCACAAGCTGCTCTATGTCCACCCGGAATTCCCTCGGGCAGGGCTGGCGGGTGAAGTGTAAGTAGGATGTTAAGTGCTGTGTGAGGTCGGTGGGCTGAACAGAAGCACATGTCATACTTGACACACGGTTGTTCTTTCAGGCGAGTGCACAGTGGCATCCTGCGTGACATGTCCATCCTGGGATACCTGGGGCACCTGCAAAGCCCGGACATTGGGGCAGTGCTCCCACTGCACAGCCTGGTGCCATATCAGGTAAAGGAGCTTTTTGGGATGGCTTGGGAGGGCGTGCAGAGAGCCCAACTTGAAGTGATGGGTTATTCTGTTCATAGTGCATATGTTTCTCAGAAGAGGGATAAACACCCTAATCTGCACAGTGACTGTATTCAAGGTGTCTGGAAGCTAAGCTTCTGTCGAGGTGCCAGTGTAGCACATGTGTGCTGTGTGTTCTGTGTGTGTGCAGGTATTGGTGCAGAAGCTGCTTTGTGTGCCCTTCCTTAGTGCCTGTGGGTAGGAGTGGTATGAGAGAGTGCAGGGTCTGTACTCAGCAAGGTCTTATCTCTGAACTCAAACTCAATCCATATGGAGCTGATGAGCACTTCCTCTCTCCTCTTTCCCACTTCAGGTGCCTTTCAATGCTGTCGCACTCAGGGTTATTCACACAGATGTTGCTCCCAGTAACATCATGTACGCTGTCAATGCCAGCTGGGTCGGGCTCTGCTGCATTCCAGAGGAAGTCCGGTGCCAGACCGACGGGCCAGTCCTGCTGACACAGACACCAGTGTGCGACTGCCTGGGCTTCGGTGAGCACGCCTGGAGCTCTGCTCTCACCTGCTGTGTTTTTGCAGACAGGTTTCAGATTGATGGAATTACCCTACTCTTCTAAAAGCAGCTAGAGAAGTGAGATGAGTGTGGTGTATTCTCTGCTGTTAGAGATTGTACTGCAAAGTCCTTGGACTTTGATTAGCAAGTGGTAAGAGCTGTGTGGAATGTCCTTGCACAATGCCATTTGGAGCTTTTCTCAGAACGCCACAGTGACTCACTTTCTGGTTCACGTTCTCAAAAGCAGACTCCATGTGGCTTATGCAAAATTCCAGTAGTTGTCTCAGTTTCCTTGTGTCACTTAATTTAATATTGCAGTTTGGACTTTGGTCCTTAATCATGTGTAGGGATGTGCCAGTGAGCAGGGATACTTAGTGACTGAGCTTTGCATGTGTTTTTGTTGGTTTTTTTTTAGGAATTGTCCGAGGAGTTGATATGGAGAAGAAACTTTACCATATCCTGACACCAGTGCCTCCAGAGAATCTGAGACTAGTGAATTGTCTGCTCCTTGGGAACATCGCCATCCCTAACTGTGTGCTTGTGGGCCAGGTAGGAGCTCACGGGAGAAGTGGGAGTTGACTGAGCTGCAACTGGCTGGCAGATTTTCCATTATCTTATTCCTGAGGCTAATGCGTGCTAGGAGATGCCTGGGCACCAGCAGATGGTTATCTCTCTGTGAAATTGTCCTTAAGCACGGAAACCTTGGGAGAATAGAATGTTCTCTTCATGTTTTGGATGCCAAAGTGGGGTTTGGTGATTGCTGGGTCCTTCCCACCATCAGCTCTGTCAGCCTGGGGGAGAGGGATGTGCTTTCCCCTCTGAAGGTACTACTTCTTAAAGTTGTTTCTGATTTGATTTTTCTTTTTTTCCAGCAAGGAATTGAGGGAGAGATCCCCTACGTCACATCTGATTACAACTACAGTATCGTGGGCTCAGGGAAACTGAGGAAGAAGAAGCATTTGAAGAGGAGGGAGTTCCCCTTTGAGTGTGATTACACTTGAAACCTCAGAGTGCTCAGCTAGGGGTAGTTCATGTGGGACCTCGGGTGGTTGCAGGAGCCCTGGGTGCTGCAGAGGACCTGGGCAGGCCGATGCTACAGTAGGGTGGTTTTGATAATGTTTTGTATATTCAGTTTGTACTTTCTGTGTTTTGTAATAAATATCTATGGTAAACATTGGGCTGGTCTGGATTTTTTCCTAGGCCAAGGCTGACACAGCCAGGGGCAGCTGCCATTACACACCCTTTGGTCAGGACCTCTTCCCATTTCCTGTCTGGCCCTCAGAGAGCTCTGGGTGTCAGCAATCCACAGTGCTTTGAGCATAATTTCACTGTCCCCTGGGTTTGGGGAAGGACCCGTGGTGGAGTTGTGGCACTGTGGCTGATCCATGGCTCTGGGTGTCCTGCTGGTCAAGGAGGGGAAGGAAGGAGCACCATAGGGAGTCCTTGTCCCGGAGTGACAAAAATGGAGCCACTCGGTGCTGCACTGTCACAGCCCACCCTGTCTGTCCACGGAGACTGCTGTCTCCTGTGCTGTCCCAGCTGCATATCTGGTGCTGCAGGGCGAGCTCCATACTCTGAGCACAGTCTGGGTGCAGCTTGGGCTGGCTTTGACATGGCCCCAGCTCTAAGGGACTGTGCTATGGATAGAGACTGTAACGGGATGGGACTGGGGAGTAACTTGTCACCCAGGTGCTTCATGGAGCACTGGGTTGCATGGCCTTACCTGACCCCATCTGCTCTGGCCCAGGAACTTTATTTCTTTTTCTTCCTAGCCCTGTCAATTAGCTATTTGCTCTCAAGGGAAGCCAGTGGTGGTGGGAGTTACATAGGGGTGAGTGAGTGCCTGGCGTGAAGTTAAGGACATTTTTGGGAAAAAAATATTCTTTATGGGTAATACCAGCATGCCGGGCTCTTACTGAATCTGTGACCGAAAAGTAACCTAACAGCACTTCCTGCAACATGAGGCATGGCTCTGCCTCAGCCCAGACTGGGGAACAGTCCAGCCCTGGAGTCTACAGCCCCCCAAGCCCAGTGCTGGTTCAAATCTCCTGGGGGCCAGGTCTGTGGAGGAGGGAAGGAAGCAGAGGAAGGAGGAATGTGCTGCACCACTTGAGGCCAGAGCTTTTCAGCTGGTGGCTGTGAGTAATCTGCAAAATTCCTCTTAGCTGGTTTAGGAAGAAATTTCCTAGAACTACAGGAACTAGCAGCTGTAAACAAGCAAACTAGGTTGAAAGGTGAGGAGGAGACAGAGCTGAAGAAGAGCTGTAAGGGGCTGTGCAGTGTTGTAACCTTGTAAAGAGTTAAACTTAATCCAGGCCTAATTATCCCCATATGGCTGGGTCTGGCAGCAAAGGAAGAAGTTGGCTAGCATTGTGGCCTGAACAGTAGCTAAAGTAAATAAAGGGGCCATGGTGCAGCCAGGGGGAGCATCCCAAGCGGGGTGAGATGGGAGTGCAAGTCACGAGGGAGTGGGTAGAAAAAGCTTCAGGAAAGGTGAGATAGGCAAAGGACATGGGAGAAATGCCCAACACTAAAAGCACAGTGGCCAGAGCCCCCATTGGTGTTGTCACCAGGCCCTTGGCGTCCACCTTACCCGGCTGAGGGCAATGGATCCCAGTGTGGCTCCATCCCTCGGAGCCAGGGCACAAGTGAGAAATCCCTGTGTGCTGAGCTGCATCTGATTTGGGGCATTTAGGGGCGGGGGGCTGCCAGTGCCTGCTGGTGCCCAGAGGTGGATGCTTCAGCCTTGAATGGTGAACCTCACTGGCTTCTGGTGCTCCCTGAGAGCAAGAGGGAGAACAGGGAGGCTGGGGGCTTTGGAGTATAAACCTCAGTTTTGGAGCATAAACCCAGCAAGAACACTGTTCTGTGATCAATGGGAAATCTGTGTGAGTATTAAGGATGCACTAAATCAAGCAGGATTAATTTTGCAATACATTGGCATCTGTTACTTTTGCAGCAGTGATTTATGACTGAATTTCTGGCAAAGGATGCCTAGAAGTAACGAAACTCTGAGAAGCACCTGGTGCTTCTGGAAGGAGATGCTATGGTGAGTTTGGAGGCTGGGATGATCTTGTCCTGGCAGTTTTGCATGGGGCAGGATCAAAGTCCCATCTTTTGTTGTCTTTGTGGGGTTTAAGCCCTATCTGGTGCTTTCTTGGATTAGCAGGAGGAAAATCCCCCTGAAGATCCCTGGTTTTCCCTTTGCAGGCTGGGGGCCCCCGTGTGCCCACGGGTGCAGGGATACAACCGGAGCTCGGGGCGGTGCATTCCTGCCCCCTCAAAAGCCGAGCGGACAGCAGAGCCGCCAAACAGCCCCCTTCTTAATGCTGATTCTTTCCATCACAAGCACGTCTTGTCTCCGTGGCCGAATGTCTTCCATAGACGGTGGAAAGTGAAATTTGTGCAATGTCTGTAGGAGGCTGAAGAAAGGCCCTTTGTGCGCCCCCCGCGCGGGCGCTGGGCAGCCTCCAGCAGCACCCTCGGCCGCCCCGCGGCTCCCGCCGGCGGCGTCAATGCACCGCTTGTCCAGAGACCGGGACCCACTCTTAAAGCCGGAGCTGGTCTCCCCCGGTTAGTCCCACCGGTGGCCCCGTCGGGGTGGGCACGGCTACGGGGGGCCCCCCGGCCGCAACCCCAGGATGTTTCTGTACTGGAGGAAGCGGGGTGCCTACGAGCTGGAGGCTTTGCCGCCCGGCCTGGCGGGGCTGGAGTACGGGGCGGTGGAGCGCTTCTCCTGGAGCTCTAGCCTGGACGTCAGCGAGGAGCTCGGGGGTAGGTGGCTGGGGGGACTTTGGGCAACCGGCAGGTTGTGGCTGAGCGCGGCTGCCCAAAGCCTCCAGCCCTGGCAACGACGGTGAGGGGTTGGGAGAAGCTCCTGGGTGCCGCCGGGATGCCGTGGGAATGCTGCAGGTGCAGCTGGGGAGCGCTCAGCAAACCGCCCGGTGCCGCCGCCGCTCCCCCCGGCCCAGGCAGGCGTTTGAAGCAGCTGGCTCCTGCTGCTGCCGTGCGCTCTGCCGCAAGGACGATCCGGTTTCAAAACTCGCTTGCCGTCACCGGGAACGCCGGGTGTGATAGCACAGCCGGCAGCAGGAGAAGGAGGAGGTGACCGGGCGGGGAGAGGAGCTGATGGGGACAGGATCTCTTCTGCAGCCCCTGATGTGTTTGGTGGGGATCCGGACACATTCCTGCCTCTGACACAAAGCGAGGCTCCCTGCGAGGAGCTCCTAGCCCGCGTGTCCCAGCCCCTGGTGTATGTATGACCCGCGGACAGGGTCGGCTTTTGGGAACGGCCACGCGGTTCTGGCCGTGCCCGCGGCTGCGGCGTGGGGCTAATCCCTGGCTGATCCGCCGGCCGCTTCGGCCAGCCTCTAGTTTTTGGTGAGTTTGGAAAACTTTCCCTTGGGTGCATGAAAGAATTTCTTATTTGTCTCCGTTATTATTCCCGATAGGTCAAGTGAAACGGCAGCGGCGGGGGGCGGGGGCCGCCAAGCCCGGCGGGCGCTGCGGGGCGGCCGCGGGGACAGAGGCCTCATTGTGCTCCTGCCGCGGGGGCAGCGCCCGGCCCCGGCTCCCAGCCCGGCTCCCAGCCCTACTCCCGGAGGGCGATGAGCTGAGCCCTGCCCGGCTGCTCCTGCAGCGTCCAGCAGCGTCCATGGTGCCGCAGCAGCCTGGGGATCGCCTCCCAAGATGGGAGCTTGAGCAACCAGCACCATTCCGAGTTGCTTTTCCCTCTCCAGGCTGAAGCAACAGTTTTTTTCAGAGCTGCCTCAAAAGGCAGACTGTTTTATCCCGCAGACTATTTCTAACCCTGGCCTTGGCCGCGGTCTTGCTCGGGTGGCGTGGATGCTGTTTTTGTTGGCAGGAAGGATGCAGGAGAGGGAAGTGGTGCGGCGGGGAAGTCCCTGTGCCGCTGGGCTATGGTATAATAGCCGTACCACCTGGTAGAGCCATGCCATTGTGGTAGAGCCATGCCATCTGGCCTCTTCACATCCCCGGCAGTGGCTCCCTGCCCAGCAGGCAGCTTCCCAACGGTGCATCCCTGCCTGCAGCGGGGCTCTCCTGCCAGAGGGTGTCTGTACTGCTCGTTTGCCGCTGCGAGCAGCCCGGAGTCTGTTATTTTTAAACGATTAGGTTCGACACATAACAAAAGCCTTCAAAATAGGATTTGTCCCTAAGGCCGATTTAACTGTCAAAGCTTAAAGTGGCTCCTAAGCCCCGTTGGGGGCTGACAGCGGCAGATTTAGTGTTGCTGCTGCAGCCCCAGGCCGTGCCAGCCCCAGAGGAGCTGGGGCAGGTCCGTGTCCTTATTCTGTACCCCGGGGTGCTGAGCAGGAGGTGCCGGATTCTGTCACTGTGCGTTCCTCTGGCAGGGATGCATCACTGGCTCCTTGGGCATGGGTCTTCATTCCCCTGGATGAGCTGTGGGGCGCGCAGGAGCGGCCTGAGCCCGAGTCCTTTGCCGAACTCTGAAACCCTGGATTCCTGGGGTGGGGGCCTCAGCACGGACCCGGAGGGGGATCACCACGGCACCCAGGCACTGACCCTACTCTCTCCACAGCCGAGCCGTGCCCAGAAGAAGAGACAGTGCTGCACTGCCAGAATCCCGACTGCGCCGGAGAGAGGAGGGCGGCCAAGGTGGGTCCTGCGGGGTGGGGGCAGCGCCGGGCAGCTGCTGCCTGGGATCTTGGAGGTGAGAAGGGGCAGAGGACAGCTCTGCCCAACCTGCCGTTCCCTGAAGGGCCCCTGCCCTGGTCGGCAGCCGTGCCGGGTGTGCATTCCCTGCTGGTGTCAGGGTCCTGCTGGCATTTAAGGGCACAGCGGCAATTTACGCGTTTCCCCAAGCTGCCCTGATTTGGGCTAATCCGCTACAGCCCGTCTGTCCTCCCGCTCGCTAACGCGAAGCCAGGGAGGATTTAGGGTCCTTTCTCTCCTGCCGGCTGTAGGGAGCCGGGCCGGACCCACGCCCTGGCTCCCGGCGAGTCGCCGGGGCTGCAGCGCGGGGCCGCAGGCGGTGTCTCCGGCGCAGCAGGCAGGACAGCCCGGCTGCACCGGGGGTGTGCCGCCGTGCTCTGTTTGCACGCCGGGCTGGCAGGGCCAGTGTTGCTGGGGCACACGTGGCATCGGGCTGTAGCTGCCCAGGACTGCAGCTGGGACTGCCGGGAGCGACTGAGGCC